AGCAAGATAGATTCAGAAATAGATCCAGAGAGAGATATAGAGAGAGAGAAATATAGAGAGAGATACAATTGTAAAAAGAGAGAGAATATTATTTGAAGAGGCAGGGATTCTAATTTATATCGTTTCCTTAATTCATCATAGTAGCTTGTCTTCGTAATAATATTTTCTTTCCGATTATTGAGATAAATATATTCCGAAATATTTATTTCAGAAATATATTCTAAAGAATAGAATTCGAAAAAATATAATTTGACTTATTATTATAATACCATTTGGTGTCATTACCATCACCATTCCCAGCCTCGAAGATATTTGTACCGAAGATGATGACTAATGTCGTTACTACCACTACCGCAGCTTCTCCTACCCCTACGACTTCGCCCACAACTGATTAACCCCAATATTCGCTCCAAATACCAGAGTTCTTCTCAAATAGGAAAGAAGTGAAAATAGAAAAAAATCAGACCAAGTGACAGGCTTTCCAAGAAGCTGACATATATATATATATATATATATATATATATATATTTATTTATTTATTTATATATATGTATGTATGTAGACTCACACATCTGCGCAATAGTTCCAGTTCTGCATGTGTTGTCTGCGCGATTGTTTTGCTGGTTTGTGCTCTTGTTTGGCTATGTATGCTTGTTCCCTTTTTATGTATATCGACCTTGTATGTTTACTAACGTGTCTGCTTGCTTTTAGCCTAATATTTACAGATACGAACTTTACTTTAGGTAGTTATCTGTTTACTTCTTTCTGTGTTTACAGGACCGCTTCTTGGATGTGAACCAACATAAATACAGTAGATGGATATTTGCACCAGGATAGGTATACTGTTGCTTAAAAAGCTATCTGTTCAGGACTGCTGATGCTGTCCAGTTGTTTCCACGCTTTTAGCTTGAAGGTTGAAGTTCCGTCATCATGAAGATCCAATGCTACCCCAAATTCATGATTATCTGGCGCGCATCTCGATGGTTCTTCGGTCCCTGCCCCACTTGGTGGGTCTGGTACCTATTCGTGAGAGATTCATTGTAGTCGGAAACATGCTGCATCTTGCAACACGTGTCAGCGGTCGCGGTAGCTCTGCTCTGGCTGGGAACCTGCATCCAGGGCATGGTGGCACCTAGCACGTTTTCGGGCTATGCACGGTTACAAGGGACGGCAACCGACAATCTCGGTAATGTCTACAAACTGAACCGAAAGGCGAGCTGGGCCAAACTATGGATAATCGAGACAGCATCTCCGGCAAATTACCACAAAATGCTCTCGACATCTCTTGACACCCAACCTGCAAGCGACGAGGCCGCGAACCAATGAAGCAGCTTGAGGCGCACGGGAAGCTGACCGCAAGTGAATGCCTCCTGGTCTTGGCTTCACTTCTCAACATGTCGCCGCTTGCCATCATGGGACAGAGGTATAGGTGACATGGATGAACTGATGAGTAAATAGATAAAAAGATAGATCAATAGATTCAGATATGCAAAAAGGTAGGTAGATAGATGGAGACATTAACGGAGAGATGGATAGACAGCTAGGCACACGGACAGGCAGACGGAAGGACGGCCGTGCGGACACACCAATGACACCGCTCACTCCTCTTTTTGTCCAGAGTTCGGAAGTCCACTGCAGCTGCCGTTCGCGAATGCTCTGCAGGTAGCAAGGAGCAGCGAAAGTGAGGAGCAAAGTACATGTACAGAGATCTTGAAATCACCCCCCCGCTTCTGGGTGGGATGGGAGGGAAGCTTGAGCATCGTTTGATGCGGCCACTCTACAAGTCAATCACTACAGTCAAACTCGTTCAAGAACATCCATGACACCGCTCACTCCTCTTTTTGTCCAGAGTTCGGAAGTCCACTGCAGCTGCCGTTCGCGAATGCTCTGCAGGTAGCAAGGAGCAGCGAAAGTGAGGAGCAAAGTACATGTACAGAGATCTTGAAATCACCCATACCAGCACTGAAACTCCCATTACAGCGTGCTCTCTGGCATCACATGCCGACCAAACTCTGAACCAAGTTGCTGGAGATAAAAGTTGTAAAAACAGCGGGCCAGTAGACGACAAAGAGGCAGAGGATAAGGCTCAGAGACCTTAGTAAGCCACTGTCCTCGATTGTTTTGTCCTGCCAGGGGCACGTGCTCGCGTTGAGAGCGGCAGCAGAGTCCTCGACGACTGCTGTGACAAAGGTAAGGCTGAAGAGGCTCCAAGTTGAGGTGTGCCCCGACAAACATGGTTGGCTTCTTCCAACGAGTGCCGAACATGCAGTAGTCAACGCGCTGCGAGCAAACATGACGTAGGCGAAGAAGCCGTTGCACAGGCGGGCATAACCAAATCCTTGAAGTGGCAGGGTTCTCAAAACAACAGGGCACGTGCAGAATAGTGCAAGCATGCATGAAGCGCACAGTAAACCGCATGAGGCGATTGCCAACCTCAATCTTTTGTTGATCCACCTCCGAAAGGTCTGGCAGCCCGAGTGGGTGCGAGTTGGATCGCAACGGAGGTGGCCCTGGCCTGCAATCACGGGCTCGTGAAAAAGACAGACTCGGGGTACCGAGGTGTGCGGCTATAATTCTGTGCCCTCGCAACCACTGCATCAACTTGTTTTGATTTCTCTGCACACACAGGTCATACTCAGGACCAAGATGGATGTCCCACAGTAGCGTCGGCCAGCCGGTGTGGCGTCCAACCGCATTTGCCAGCCGGCCAGTCCCAGCGAAGATTTCGATGAAGACTTTGGGGTCCGGTAAAGCGCAAGCTAGCGCAGGCTTCGGAGGGTTGCCGGCAAAGAGGCCGTTGCTCGAAGGCAGCGGTTTCGCACGGCGGGTGCCAGCGACCCGAAGAGTTGGGCCACACGACCGCCCTTTTGGTAACGACGAACGCTGTTGAAGGATTTCCACCGGCCTCGTTGCTGAATCGCAGTGAGGTCCCTGAATTTGCCGTTGAAGTCGTGACTGGCTCCCCCGTGCCGAAGACGATAAAGATGTAGGGGCCCAAGAGGTCGCAGTTCCAGTTCTTGCTGCGCTGACGCCAGAAAGTCGTTCAGCTCCTTGGCAGTGATGCTGAAAATAAACTGCCCTGGGTTCATGCGACTCAAATGAAGACAACGATGTATCGCTTGGCCGAGGTGTGCATGATAGTCCAAATCTAGGGCCAACGTCTCGTCGAACTCCTTCGTCTTGGAGGGCACCTGGCCTTCCATCGGATTGAGGACGAACTGCCAGCGGCTCGAGGTTCCTCGACGTTGAACTGGTGCCACCACGTCCTTGCTTCGAATCCGAAGGCCTTCCGAGGGCCGAAGATAGAGTGCGAAGGCCAGCAGGAGAAACAGGCCCACTTCCTTGAGCCCCTTCAGGAAGGCGTGGCAAGCCATGAGTACAACCACCTCGTAGGGAATCGGCATTCGCGCTTGCGGAGGCGCGAGGCGCTTCCAACCTGCTAACGCCTGCTTGACCCGAGGCAGCCACTGCATCGAAGGGGACTTCAAGGACGGGTTGAAGTACAGGAAAGCGGCCACCAGGTATTGACCGCTTGCCACGTTTAGCCCATCCAGGAACTGCTCCTCGAGCTGTTGACACAGCACATTGTCGATCTGAGACACTGAGAGAAGGCATCCGAGGGTGGTCGTCACCAGCGGAGCCAGCTCGCTCCAGATGTTTTCGTACCGTTTTCGGCATGCATCTGTCACCGAAGCTTTTTCGAGCACAGTCCTGCCATTGTCGTCCCCCCCTATCTGAGTGAGAAGCTTCTGTCTCTTGACACGTTTGGCGCCCCGGCTCTCCTCGACTGGCGCCTCCAAGATTGGTCCCAACACTGCAGCCGCAGGAGCCATCATCACCCTTGCTGTGTCCTCCTTTCTTTTGGACTTGGACGTGAGAGGCTGACTCGAAGTGGTTGCCAGCTGAAGGTGACGATGAATCATGCTGAAGCGATCGCTGAGGTGCACTCGGCGCCCATGTGCCGCGGCTGGGGTTATCTGCAGGGTTCCACTCTGACGGCACCCACCGGAGGGATACTTGACTATTGCTACAGAGACATAGTGCTGCGATTTGAGAACATACTCGTCTGAGCTGGAATGTACTAGATCGGCCTCGGCTCACCGCACAAGCAGCTGTCATCGAGTCGGTTATGACCAGATGTCTCTTTCCGAAGCCGTCAAGCCTTCGAAGAGCATGCTTGACAGCAAAGAGAACGGCCCGAGCCTCGGCAACCGGGAGGGTTGGTATGCGCCGCCATTTGTGACTGCACACCGTCACCCAATCCCGATCAACTGCAGCGAATGGTACGGCCTTAAAGTTCATCGGATCACCATCGTCAGGCTCAGAGGCATCTAACTGATTGAACACGCCGGCTCGCGCACCCACCAGTGCACCCCCCGCCTCGTCAATGGAGAACCGCCACCTTTCGCTGTGGCGCCCGAGGGCCCGAACCTCCGCATCGGTCATGGTAGTGGACGTGGCTCCCATTCCCCAAAAGCTCGCGTCAACTGCGGTGACTCGATCACTCCAGCCAGCCTTTAGGTCACGAAAGATCAATGGAGAAATGGCGTCCCACATCCACAGCTCTGTCCTGACACATCGTGGCAAGGGCATCTCATGATTCACATCCCGGTACTTCGTGATGAACTGGTACACCGATCCAAAGATGGCCAGACTCTCTCGCCGCCCGAGGCAGATGAAAGTACACAATCCAACTAGACGTTCAATCTGCTTTCCCGTTGCCCGTCTTCTTGACAGAATGGCCCGAATCGCAAGCCGAGCCTTCCACACTCTTCGCCGCGACGGTCGAAAGATGCCGCCTTTCTCAAATTCCCAACCCAATACACAAGCTCCATCTTCGCACTCCTCGACCTCGTGCACTTGTAACCCTGCCTGCTTCAAGTGGCTGACGGCGTGCTGGAACATGCTCTTCACGGCACCGGTGTCCTGACCCAGGACAACGAGGTTGTCGACGTATTGAGTGTGCATAACGGCTGGTCCTGGAGCAGCGCGACCGTCACGAAGCCGTAATTCATCTGGCAACCCCGAAGCCTGAATCAGGTGCTCGTGGATACGCTGGCATATGAACAAGGCCCAGCTCCAACCCATGGGCACAACGGCAAGGCGAGGATATACTTTGAGGCCAGCGCGAGCGATCTCTCCTCCGATCAGCGGTCGTCCTGCAAGGTACCGGCCATCAATAGGAGGTAGAACAAAATAGTCACGAAGATCAGGGGGCAATTCGAGATGGTAAAAGGCATCTTTCAAATCGGCCTGGCAGATTGTAAGGTCTGGCCCTTCAAGAAGTTCGATGCGGGACAATCCGTCACCTGTGCAAAGATGGACGTAATCAGGGACCTTAAAGTGTTGGTTTGATCGGCGGGCATCGACTATCATCCTCAACTTCATGTTTTTCTTTGTGACGAAGAAGATTGCGATCTGCTCAATGCCGGGGGACCCACTGAAATCCACCAGATTCGACTGGGCCAACCGATCAAGAAACCCACTGTATATTTTGGGGTCCCGAAGTTTTGGATCACTGTAAGGAAACTGCACTCCACATGATTCGACACGCTCCCTTGCTGTCGCTGCGGGCAGGAGCTGTTGCTGTACGTAATCGCCAACTGATATTCCCCCGTCGGGGCCTCCAAAGGAGGCCAAAGAGATCGGCTTCCACCCTGGATCAGGAAGGGAAACCCCTTCGGGAAAGTAGGAGGCGAGGGCACCCGTCGCCTGGACATCATCGACATAGCCCTCACACCGAAGCTGCCGTAGCGCTTCTGGTACTGTTACATCACCTGGGGGTGGACCCAGTTGGTTCACTGCATTTTGTATGCAAGAGAGCGCCTCAGCCTGTGCCGCCGAGATGCGAGAAGAAAGCAAGGAATGAATTGGCCCAGCATCTGATTTCGAGGCCGGGTCGTACATCAAATTCAAAGCCCGAATGGCGGAATTGCACTCGTCCAAAATGCGTTCCCTTCGCGACCATCGCTGTTGTGATCCCCGGGACAGCTTATGCTCCGGAAGGTCTTGGCCACCAAAGAAAGGCAGAGGGAGAATGTCCCGCGTCACCAGGCGCTCGGCATGCAATGGACCTAAGGTGGGGGCGAGGCTCGGTCCAAAAGCCTCACCCGACGCTTGCTCACGTGTCATCTCGCCCCCCCTTCTTCTTCCGGGCAAGCTCGCGCTCCTCACGAGCTTTCCGAAGATTCTTGGAGAGGCTGGCCTCCTTCTCGGTTTCGGATTTCACAAAGTCCAGGAGATCCGGACACACCATGAGCGTGCCCGCCTGCCTCGTGAGGCCACCGAACACCTGCTGTTCCTCAAGTGACAGCCTGCCGCCAACAGCCTTTGACTCGCTCTCTCGTGCTTTCTCTGCATAGGCAAATTCGATAGTCTGTAGGCGCCTAAAAACCATCTCAAGAAAAAGGACATTGCAACCGTTCACTTGATCAACCTGCAACGCTTGCTTGGCAATCATAGAAAGCTGAAAGTGCTCCTGTATTCCCCAAGAAGAAGCATCGGCCTTGACCAAGGTCCTGAATCGTTCATGGTGACCTTCCATCCCAAGGCCCCCTCAACCACGAGGTAGTTGATGCACCACTTGGCTGTCCGGGGGCCCGAGAGGACCCAGCCAACAGCACTCTCCTGCGATCGGTTTGCTGCCTCTTTCATCGGTACCTCGGGACGCCCGAGGCTATCAAACCTCAGGCCACAAACTCGAGAATCCCAGCCCCCGGGCTTCAGCAGGAAATCCTTTCGATCACGTCCAAAGCAACACTGCACAAAGATCTGAACGCCTGAAGGCAGATGATGGACGGCCTTGGCCCCCTCCCGGGCCACTGCCATCACATTTGCCACGGCGTCGCCATAACTGATGTTTGGACCGCTCTCGGCTGCCAGCCAGTACAGCGTGTCAGGATCATAGGCCACAATAGCGACTCCCCCCCCATTTGCGGCAGCGGGTGCCACGGCGCCCACTCCGCCTATGGGTTGCACCTGAGCTGCCCCTGCTCCCAAATACACGAGGGCATTTCCGGGCATGACAGGCGCCCCTGGAGCTCCAAGAACGACCCCAGGATTGCCCACTCCGCCTCCTACTTCAGCAGCTATCAATCGCGCGGCCTCGGCTTGGAAACCTGCCATCTCCGCTGCGGTAAAGACGGGGAGACCATACACTTGAGTAGCTCTGACTCCCACCGGACGGCCGCCTCCAGGCCCCCCAATGCGAATGGCACGCAAATCATCATTTCCGAGAGACAGCTCTTCTATGTACACATCGTGATCTGGTGTAACAATGACATACTCCTCTCCCCGAAGGTGATCTAGGATGAGTCTTTCATGCCATAGAACCGGACCAGGAACATCATACTGGACGAAGACCCGCCTGTTAATCAGCGCCATGCCTTCGCCGACGAACTGCACTCAGCTGTTGCAAGGCAAGGGCCCTCTGCTCCAAAGGGGAACTGTCTTCGGATCCTCCCGAGTCCTCAAGATGAACTTCCTGGGTGGGCCTTTCAAACCAACGGTTGAGCAAGCCGAAGACACCAACGAGCAAGTTGCCCGTGGCGCTGATCAAGAAGAAAAACCACCAAAGAACCGACCAGTCAGAAAGAAAGGCTGGCTCCTGCCTAGCGATCTCTTCTCGCAAGAAAGGGGCTGGGCCTTGGCACGAAGGCTCTAAGTTGCGGAACCCGCTCTGCTGAGCCACCTGATCAAAGGCAGCCGAAATCAAATCCTGCCGGGAACGTCGTCCCTCAATGGTGGTCCCAGCAAGGTAACCCCCGATGAAAGAACCAGTCTGCCAGCACAAGAAAGTGAATCCAGCACCGCGGTTCATAGCATTTCCTACCCCTTCCCTTGAAGCTTGAGCATCGTTTGATGCGGCCACTCTACAAGTCAATCACTACAGTCAAACTCGTTCAAGAACATCCATGAGAAAGAGAGCGACAGAGAGGGAAAGAGAGAGAGAGAGAGACAGAGGGAGAGACAGGTATAGATCAGGTAGGTAGTTAGTTAGGTTGGTGGGTAGATAGGTAAGTACTGCAAAGTGGGCTTGCAAGGTGTCCAACATGGCACCTGTGGTATCTATGATGGAACAACAGAACCATTGAGTCCATGAACACAGAGCTTGAACTAAGAGGCTGAGAGGAACAATGGTGCCACTACAAACGACTCTGTTCGCATTGCTTTGTGGCGCATGAGGGTACTGAGGGCAGGGCGGCAGCTCTCCTCCACTGCTCACTGATTGAGGCGCTTACAGCTAACATGTCTTGTCTTGCAGAAGTCTCTCCGTCCTGTGGAGGGACTTAAGGCGAGAGAAACTCCATTCAGGCGGGGCTCCGCGTTCGTAAGCTCGGAGGCCATGAGCTCCCAGCCGAACTCCACGCGAGCCCAGGCCACCTTCGACAGGCATTCATCTTCACATCTCGAGCCAGGCAAGTCAAGACGAGCTCCAGAAACACGCCGCGGGGGAGTGTGGAGACATGGTGGGACTGTAGAAGTCCCCGTGCTCGATCCGACGATTCCAGCCAAACCAGCCACGAACACTTAGCCTGATCAGCATCCGGCCTATGCCCTCGCTACCAGGTTACCAAATAGGACACAGATGTCTGACAACTTCCACTTTAGGCTCAGAGTCCCATCGCCTTCGGATTGCGCATGAACACCAGCAGTGACTTGCACTGGAGTGCGTCCGTACCAACTTTTCTTGCCGCTGACTTGCACCGTCTGCTGCGTGTCTTCTGCACTGCAGTCCGGGTAGGGTCCGATTCTCAGAAAACACCGGCCCATGAAGGCTAATTTATACCACCACCATAGCGTTGCACTGCAAGGTGTCATATCCAGCTCATGCAGTGGATATTCTAGCAATGCACTTTGCTGCTATCTGCTTCCGCGCCCAACATGGTACCTGGACTCCCACACCGGAGACATCCGTAAATGCGCAGGTACATTGCCGGGAACCGAGAATATAGTTTTCGCCACGCTGCTTCAATACACTTTCTAAGCACGGATACCGGATCCTCCGCAGCTCTCGTATCACTAGCATTCTTGGCATTGTGAGTCTTGTGAGTTTTACTATTGTCATGATTATCATCAAGAGCATTGCCATCATTATTGTTATTGGTATTTTTTGTAGTAGTATATGAGTATTATTAGAAGCCGCCGGTGCTCCTGTGTCGGCTTGAGCGGCCAGAAGGACAGCTGGAGCATCTACGAAAGTCTGCCCACAGCCGTTGAAGTTCGACGAAAAAGATCAGCCAAACTACGCAAGAGCCCGGTGCAAAGAAGTGCATGTCTGAATGTACACCGGGCATGCAAGTAAAAAGGGTCTTGGTGAGCCGTTCAACAAAGACCCCATGCTTTGGTGTGTGTCCTGCTATGACGTAGGGAAGATAAACGGCCCTGGTTTTCAAGGCTGCCTCCAGGAGAGGACTCTCAGACAGCTCCCGCGGCATTCAAGCGAGCTGGGGCTTGCAGTTGCCATCCTCCGTGGCATAGTCAGGTTAAGCAAGAGTTCGATCCTTCAGAAGTTGGCTCTTCGAGCTTCAGTACCCGAACACCCCTTTACGTCCGCAAGGTGGCTGTGCAGATAACTGCTTGCACGCACGCTCTCCCCTCAGCCCGATCAATTCACCCTAATATGCAACAGCGCACTACCGGACAGTTACTACCGGCATTCTTCGGCCCGCAAAATGGACATTCGAAGTGGCAATCCTGCAGCCCTCAGCCCTGACACGGCCTCGCTGCAATACCCCTCCCGGCAGATACACTGCCCGTCTTTGCACACTGTTGGACCTGCATCAAGGGTGGTGCTGCTTGCCACGTTTCCAACAGCCCATGATCTGATCGGTTCCTCATCATGGCAAGCGAAATCTACCAAACTGATTTCCTATTCTTACTGCAGGGAGCAGCAGCATGGACTGCAGGAAAGAAAACCACGGAAGCAGCTTGCCGATCCAGCATCTGCAAGCACAAAGGTGCAGTTCTCCGACATCACATCAATGAGAACAGGCTGCAGATTCTCTTGACAACGGTAGAAACAACCCCACTTTGCAGATCAGGCAGGCAGCCCTCGCAAATAACAGCTAATTTTGAAGGCCGTCATGTCGTATCTTCGCCACACTGCATGCTTGCACCCCATAGGCCTCTCCCATGCCAGCACCACAAGAATTTGCAGCTGCCTCCGGTTTTGACCTCGCAGCCCTCCTGCGCATGCTGAAGTGTTTTTTCTCAGCTTCTCCCTTGCCGAGTACTGGTTACAAGGAAGCAACTCTTTGGGCGACCGAGGGTCTTTGAATGTCTTTGGAGAAGGTTTCCGAATTTCAAGTGAAACAAAACTGGCCGTTAGCAACGTCTGTAGGACAAGTATCAGCTAACCAACATGGCTCTAGATCATGCTTACTTCTGCAGGGCATTCCCACTATACCCGGGATCGAGAGATGTTCTCCGAATTCTATGTATCTACGGGATGTACGTGTCCGACCGCATTCCACCATTTCGAGACCTTTCTGCTGTGCGGCTTCAGAGCCGGACAGCCGGAATCCTGGAGTCCCCGGAACCCCCCACAGCAAGCCTCGGGAAGGTCGAATCAAAGCCCCGAAGAAAGGGGCCTTAATAGAACCTATACTATTTTGGGGCTCCTTAAGTTATTGTGTGCTGCGTGTCTGCCCAACATCAAGGGACACGTCTGGTTTTGGGGCCTGTGGTTGGTGGTGATGCCTTCAGACAAGATAGCAGCTCCTGGGATGGGTCTGGCCCGCTTCCCAGCATACCCGCACGTGGGGGCATGCAGTACCCATCCTTCCACAGGGAAGCAAGGAAAGACAGTGCAACCAATTCTGACACAGACGCTTCTCTTGCTTTCAGGTGCCTGTGAACCCCCATCGTCCCTACAAAGTCAGATCAAGAGCGTCTACGCAGGAGGTGATCACTGGCACAGGCCAGGGTAGCATGCGCACCACGCACCACGATTGTTTGTAAGACTCTGGTCATCCGTGGGCCTCGGCACAAAGCCCGGCATTGCAAATGCACTGGCCACCCGAGCAGGATGTAGGCCCTGACCAAAAGCTGCACGATGAAACCAGGATGCAAGAGTTCCGCGACATTCAAGCTGATGATCCCTAGGAGCTTCACAGCACTTAGTGGCTGCACTTGGTGGAGAAAAACAGGATTCTAACAACCCACAAAGCACAGCTGCCGAAGGGAAGTAATGACTGCCCCAACACACACGAAGACACCCGAACCAGCAACCTTCCTTATGAAACTTTCTAGCTAGACTGACTCTGTGGCCATGCGGGCGTACGCTGCAGCGCCTCTGGTGCGACTGCAAAGGAAAAGCTTGCAGGTCCCGCCCGTGTTGGTGGTCTCGCACAAGCCGTCTGCACCTGGGTACAGTTCGTACGCCCTGACTGACTGTGCATATATATATATATGTGTATATATATATATATATATATATACATACGTACATATATATGGACATGCACATACATACATACACACATACATTAAAAGCTAGTAGAGTATGATACAGTATACCCTGCTGCAATAGACTATACCATACGACACTATACTCCACCCTCCTGTCCTGTCCATGCCATGCTTGGCTATGCTATGCTATATCATGCTCTGCTGTATCGTAACATGATATGACATAATGCAAAATGACATGATGCGATATGGTAAGACACGCTATGAGTTGATGCGATATCACGAAAGATTATGCTGTACAGTTGAAGCAAACGACACAATAATACTGTGATGTGAACTCATCTTGTGGTGTATTTTGTTCGGCTGACAAGCAGCTCGCGTGCTTTTTCTTCTTCTTGCCGTTCGACACGGGCTTGTCTTTGGAGCATTGATAACCTGATTGTAAGGGTTTCGGGGATCAGGATTTAAGGCTTGCCAGGTATAAGTAGAGGGGTTTTAGAGTATTGGGGGGTATGGGGATTGAGGATTCAGGGTTGAGTGTGATGCACGAGAGATGAAAGCTCGGAGAAAAGCAAGCCAAGCCTAAGGCGGCAGCTCCAGCTTAGGATGGATTTGTTTTTGTCTTTGAGCCTAACCTGTGACTTTCCCTGTCCACGGGAAATTTGCAGGAAAATTTACACCCGGTCTTGTGCGTCAACAGACGGATCTTGTTTGGCGTCAGCCGATGAAGCATTTGTACCCTGGCCGTGCTTGGCCACATGTTGAGGGCCAGTGTTCGCGTTGAGGATGCTGTTACATGCGCTGAGAATACGAGTGAAAACTCTTGCTCCATTCCGACAATCTGGCGTCCGAGCCGTTTGACATCTTCCACCGTGGATACTCTGGCGCCAAGTGGCAAATCGCGCCAGTGGTCGTCTTGACCTCTTTCTGGTAGAGGCCTGTGCCAAACGCTCAATGCTGAAGACAATCATATCAGAGAACAGTTCTTGACTTGCCTGGGAGCCTTGCACACATCATGGGTTACAGGTTTCACCACCCCACTCTAAATTACCGTCTGTTTCAACCGTGCAGGAAGCAGAAGCAGCGTGCAAATGGCGGGCGTGAGGTCTTACAGAACCACTGGGGCATGCTTCCGCACAGGTCCACACAAAACCTCACAAGGCGAATGCAGAGCTACAAACCGATTCTTTAGAATGTTCTGCCTTGCCGGTTGCTGGCACAAGAACCACACCGAAGCTGGTCACTCGAACAATTCGGAAAATATGCCCACAAGAGCCACACCTTTATCGCAGGCGCAGGTGGGGTCCGCCGTACACCGCTTCGTTGTCGGGCATTTCGGCAGTTGAGGGTTTGGCTGCACATCCTTGGGCAAGCACGTCAACAAGTGCGCACGGTGTCCAAAGGGGCTTGATTGCTGGCACTCGCAGGGGTTGCTGTTGGCGTCTCTTCGAGACGTCTTGTGTTTCTTATGCTAGCAGGGGAGGCTCTACATCGTTTCAACGGGTTGGACTGGAGGTGATCGGAGCATTTACCGGCTCTCTTTACCATAACATACTAGCGCCGTTACACCGACACTCAAACTACGCTATTGTACCCTTATAGGAACCCTTTAGGCCCTTATAGACCCCTTGTAGTATCCCTCCGAAAATTAGGGGTACCTTACTTTGGAGTCCTTATTATAAGGATCTTACTGTTTAGGATACTATATTACGACCAGCGTCGTTCACAAAGAAGGCAAAGTTGTCCGCGTTCAGCAAGGCAGATTTCGGATCTTTCGCTGCCAAGCTCTGACAAGCGATCCTCCTCAGCTGCGGTCATGGTGCCGGGTTTCCGAAAATGAGGGGTACCTGATTTTGGGCTCCTTATCATTATCATAAGCATCCTACTATTTAGGGTTTCACGGTTTCACTGCTTGAATGCGAGCCCTGCTTGTGATCCTGAGTCAGTCCCATGCTCAAGACCATTTCCGC